ATGTTTGTGAGAAAAAAAAAGAAATCATTATATTCATTCCTGCTTAGTATTGTGACGTGTCGTTAAAGATAACAGAACATCATTTACGTATTTCTACACTCTGTTGCATTCATTTCTGTTCTATTCACAAGTATAGAAGCCATATCCACTGCAGTTTTATCTTTCTTCGTTTATGTGGAAGTTATCAAGTGCATATTATTGTCTGCTCTGTTCTGCCTCTTTCTCTTTCGATTTTTTTCGTGATTATTTAAAACTTTCTTCAGGATTAAAGCTGGTATGTATATATACACATGACTTCAGACGATCAATTCATTTTCTCTACTGTTTGACTGCAGTGACCTCAGGTTAATAAACCAAGCACAAGGAATAAATAAATAAAATTTTTGTGATCATATCGTATGAAATATTCTTCTATTATTTTTTGGTGAAAAATATACAGTATGTCTGGCCATGAATTTTCTCTGGAAATGAAACATCTTTTTTTCCGTGTCATTACATTTATTGAATCAGAAAAGAACGGTCCACAAATTCCTCTGAACAATACATTAGAACGTTGTCAAGCATGTCTTGGGATTTCGATCCGATCAATAAGCAATTTGAAGAAAGAGATGCGAGAACTTAGAGAACAAGCAGAGGAAGAGTGTATACAAGGTTTAGAAGAAGATGCATACTTATATTCTCTGCGCAGTCGACAGGCAGTCGATACAGATTCATTCTTAGCGCCGATTTCAAACGTATATAACATCGTCCAGTCAAATGCATCTTCACCAACTGTCACTTTTCGTCGTCATCGGACAAGACATCCTCCTATAACAGATACCAGATCGTTTGTCTCTGTTCCGGAACCAATTCCACCTCAAAAAGGTGGCAATGTTGGGCGAAAGCCCATTGTTTTGAGTGTCTTAGCTGAAGATGCAATCCGCTATATCTTCCATAAAATGCTTGAAGAAAAAATATATCCAACAATTGCGACGCTTCTAGCTCGTTTGCTTGCTGAATATTCCGATTTCCCAATTCGAACAGAATCTACTCTTCTGAAGAAGATGAAAGAAATTGGTTTTCAATATCGAAAAACAGCAACAGTCAGAATAGCTCTTGAGTAAGTTACTACGAGCTTTTAGAACCCACCGACCACCTTCTTGGTCATATTATCACTACTTTTATTTAGTTCGATCACGTTTATGTCTCAGAGAGCCACATATTTTCAAAGTATCGATGATCTTCGCTCTGATAACGCGCAAATTTACTACTATGATGAGACCTGGTCCAATGTCGGTGACGAAAAGCGTTCTATCTGGTTGAGTGATCGTGGGGAGGGTCGTTTACGGAAGAATGATGGCAAAGGAAAACGTTTAGCGATCTCGGCGATGATCAATAACCATGCTATCGATATAGACACAATTGATACATTTGTATGTGATGAAGATCATACAATGAACAGCAGTCATTTTATTGAATGGCTTCGAAAGGCAGCCGAACATTTACGACGAAAGTATTGCAACTCAACTCGAATCTGTATCGTTTTGGATAATGCGCGCTGGCATAACGAGCTGTGTGATGATGCGAAACCACCAAAGCGATCTTGGAGGAAAAGTGAGATCGAGCAGTGGCTCCGAAAAAGAAAAATTAAATATGAAATCTGTCAGAAGAAAGCTCAATTGTTCGAATTAGCTATTGCTAATGCTCCGCCTAAGAAATTCAAAGCCGATGTGGTAGCAGCCAAATTCAATGTACAATTGCTTCGTCTACCTGTTAAGCATTCCATGCTGAACCCAGTCGAATTGTTATGGGCACAATTGAAGGAGCATATTCGAAAAAACAATACATCTTTCGTGAGTAATAGTAATCAAAATTTCAACTATTTGCATCATCCAGTCATGAGAAATTGAAATTTTTTGCTCATTTTTCTCTTTAATAGCGTCTATCAGATATTAAATCGTTAACGATTGATTTTCTCAATTCATTCACATCCGATTCTTGTGGAAAACTCATTCAGCATGTACGTGGTGTAGAAGAAACTTTTCGTGCAGCTGATGAACTCGTCGAGGAACAGCTCGAACCAAGTCTCATTGATTCCGACTCAGATGGCGAACGGGACACAAATGAAAATCTCGAAGATACAGACGATGATGATATGTAATCCATTTCCATCTATTCTATACTTTCCTGCATTTTTCTCTTGTATTCCAATAAAATTTCTTGCTGCTTTCAAACACTCCATAACAGAATATCATATTCTGTCTAACGATGCATTATAATACTAAGAAAGAATAAACGTATAATGTGAAGTAAGCAATTGGGCACAAAAGTGAATACCGAAGAACATAGTTATCAAAAATCAAAATAGTTTCTTTTTTTTCTCACAAACATATTACACATGTCCACTTGCTCTTATTCCGATTCTGCAAAGAAAAATACGATCGACGACTTCTTTCATCATTCGCAACTGCANTGCGTTGTGTATAAGCTTGTGATCTGACACATAAGTTAGCAGTGAAAGCTACAAGGTGGGGTAGCAACCACTGATTTTATTACAAAGAAAAAAAGAAGGCAATAGGAAGAAAGATTTTTCTGTAAGATGTCGATCAATATTTGTTCTCTTCCTTTATTGCAGAACGAGTGGGAGCGATATCGAATTTCAATATGTAAAAAAACCCAGTAATATTCAGTTGGAAGTATCCAAGGTATACATAGTCAACTGTTAAAATGGAATGGTTTTTAATTCCTCAGAAGATACAGGTGTATTTAAGTCGTAATTAACAGGAAAAAAAGGTCTTCAACAATTCTGTTTTTAAGCAACAATGACTAGTGCGCTCATTCCCAGCAACGAATCAAAACCTATTTGGGCTCGTCTGAATGTGTTTGACTTGAACAAAGTCAGACAGTTTCATGGATTTGGTAGAATAGACACTGGTGATGCTTTCGCTGATTTGTTGAGTGATGTCATCGGTCCATATGGCGCTCAAATAGTAAAAATCCTTGCTGATTCGCCTGCTAAAACGGATGAAGGACTGACACACATATGTGCATCTGGTTTAACCGCACGTGAATTGATGCTGCGGGTCGGATCGATATCGCAAGAAGACTTGCGAGCCAAATTGGCTGAAACCATTTTACCATACATTTCTTCGCCTCCGAGCGAACAATTTGGAAAATTATTCTCATTAAAGTTTAATGTCGATGATTTAGACGACACGAAAGGTGACATCATTGTTGAAGATCATGCAAGTGAGAAGGCAAGTTCATTGAGAAAAATTAATGTCTATTACGCGAAATGTTTATTACGTCGAGAAAATAACAAATATCATATTAATGTGGCATTTTATCATTTTATTTCAGTGATCCCATGGCACAGCGTGACTGCATTAGTTCGAAGTAGGGAAGAGGTCAAAAAAGAATTATTGGTGGCCTCTGCTATGGCATATAATCGATTACATCGCCAATTGAAAGCCAGTTGGCCAGATCGAATTGAATTAATCGAAGTGGAGGATCCTTCACAGGTGGAACAAACCTCATGAAATGGCTTCTCAATTGACGGTTTTCATTTACTATGAATGATGACATTTCGAAACTAAATACTTTACTAATCTTTCGTTGTGTTTTGTTTCTTTTTGAATGTGTTTGAAAAAATAGGCACACAAAAATTAAATTTTTGGAGGAAGTTCGGAGAGGGTGAGACCAGCTACCATGATTGCTGCGATTTCGTATTGGCAAAGATACTCGTTAGATGGCAAACAATCTTACGATTATATATGTCGAGGGTGTGCTGCGAAACCGCGAGGGTGAGGGCGAGAATGTAGCTTCAGGGTGAGGGTAGGGTGAACGTGGGGTGAGGGTGAGGGTGGGGTGGGTGAGGGTGAGAACGGGTGGGTGAGGGTGTTTTTTACAGAGAATTGATTCGAAACATATCATACGAGATGTTTCGACCTTACTTTAGGGACTCATCGGGTATGTTAAGAATCAAAAACTACATTAATCAGTAAACCTAAAATGGATAAGAATCACAACAATTCAAAAGAATTGAATGATTCAAATCAAAGGTTCAAAGATAAATTGTAGTCGATCTCAATAAAAGGTGAGTTTTTAAAGCAGGTGAGTTTTATAGAGAATTCCAAGCCACTTAGGACGTGTTGAAGGTGTGGGTGTAGGTGCTGATATCTTTTTGAGGTACACCCACACCCACACCCACACACGCACCCACACCCACACACGCACCCACACCCACACACGCACCCACACCCACACCCACACACGCACCCACACCCACACCCACACACGCACCCACACCCACACCCACACCCACACACGCACCCACACCCACACCCACACCCACACACGCAACCACACCCACACCCACACACGCACCCACACACGCACCCACACCCACACCCACACCCACACCCACACTTTTATGTACTTTAATCTATTTTAAAGTGTATAAGTAAAACATTCACTTCTTCTATTTTTTATTTGAAGAAATATTGTAAAAGGATCTATGAAATGCCACAAAATATATCGAAGTATTCTCAAATACTTTGAAACACAATAAACCATTTTGGAATATTTAAGGGGGACCCCCCCCCCCTCAGAAACCTATTTTCTAAACGGTAAAACAGATTTGGATGAAACTTTCAGGAAATAGAAAAGCTAATGTTACTAGCATTTGATAAAAATTTGAACCAATAATTTTTGATAATTAATGAGTTATACTCAATTTACTCATGAAAACGGGGCTTTCAGCACGGAACATTTTCCCGATGCACGGTGGCATGGAAAATGTTGAACTTTGTTTCAAAATGAAGAAAAATCTTTTATCTAGAAATTGTAGGAACAGTTTTTTGAAATTTGTGTTCGTTCAATTTTAGTGATCATTTTAAAACAAAAATCGCAAAAACTACTTTGAGCCCTTTCAAAGATTTTCAAATATCTGAGCAACGGAAATATATTTTAGAAATCCGTTCCACCAATTTCTAGAAAAAAGTCTCATCTTTCGAATAAAAGAAATATCAGCAGCGTGTCTGAAACGGTGGACTGGGAAAATGTTCCGCAGTGGTCAGCAAACAATAAAAAAGTGAAGCTGAGAAAAACGAATAACAACACCGCGAAGTAGTTGGTGATGTTCCTGTGTAGAAAACTAGGACATATTATATATCATTGAAAAGTACGTAAAAATTTCTTGAAGTTGATGGTATTTTCGAGAAAAAATTAAGCTAATTTCTGAATCCAAGTTTACTGTAGCGCCATCTTTCCCCAAAATAACCTTATTTTAAAGCTTCCTTATTAGACTGCAACAGTCAGAACATGATTACTCGATACGGTGATGGTTTTTTTACTGCTAATAAAGACAATAGAACTATATTAATTACCGGTAACTAAGGGAAGCAAATCAACAAATCAGTCGATTTTTCACTATGGTTTCCAGTAAAGGGACCAAAATTAGGCAAAATATGTTCCACTCTTATATAATTTATACATATTCTGAGAGAGGGCACTCAGGGCTACAAGAATATGTGTTTTTTCAAAAATCGAGTTTTTCAAGGAAAATCGACTTTCGAAGGGGGGGGGGGGGTTCCCCCTTAACAGTAGTGTGTGAAAAATAACCATCATACTACATATTTCTGCTGTGTACTTGAATTCTTTGCGTACCATTGTATTAAGTTTAGCCCTGTCTTTTTTCGAATGCATTACTTTTAGAATGATTTGCGAACATAAAACGATGTCAAAATAGAATTTTCTTATAACACAGAGCAGTCTAGTGTATACATCGATGTAAGGCTTCTTTCTATAATGCAATGACTCAATTAATAGGTGTAAAAGATCTTTGAAAGATCATCTATTTTAAAAATTTTCTAGTTTCAAAAACTGTATCGATTTTAATGCTGATTTCATAATTTAGAGTTTGTCAACAATAAAAAAAAGCATTGACTAACTGAGAAAAACCTGAAAAGCAGATATAATCTTTCATAAATTCAAAAAAAAGAAAGACAGGTTCTCAAGAAAAAAAATAAGTATCGTCCGATATATTCCTAGATGTGCTGTATCAATAACATGATTAAGATAGTAACTAGATTGGCAAACAGTTGATTTACATATCATATGAATAAACAATGTAATAATATAGATTATTCGTATAGTTTTTTTTCCAATAAGAAAAACCTATCGACACCTCCACTATAGATTCATGAGGGAGGATGAAATGGTTTTTCTGATTGGAAAAAAACTATACGAATAATCTATATTATCACATCGTTCGTTATCATATGTAAATCAGCGGTTTATCAATTATTTATTATCTTAATCTTGCTATTGATATAACCAAATTTATCGAAAAAATTTCAAATAATTTTTATCAATAAATAATTAAGAGAAATTATCTACTATTAAAGTCTTTTCTATATATTTGATTATAAAATATTTTTCTATGAATAAATTAAACTCTCCTAGAAAAAAAATGAAAAGGAATATTGTACTTTTGAGCTTTTTGCACTTAAGAATACATCAAAGAATCTGGAAACATCTTGAAGTATTTACAGGATGTAAAAATAAATAAAAAATGTACGAAGTATGAACGTTGATGTATATACAATAAGTAAAATTTAACAATTGAATAAATATAATTGAATATAATTGAAAATAAAATTTACTTTTCTTCGGAACTTAAACTCATTTTTACTTATTACTCTCATCAATTTTCGTTGGCGATTATACTGCTTTGTTAAATCAACTATTTTCGTCAATTAAGAAAAATAAAGTTTCATTTTCAGTAGTAGAATATTTCACATATAGCCGTTCTCTTTCGCTATGCGTCATCGTCTCCATTGTTGCATTTGTTTCCACAATACATAAAGACTAACGATGAATAATAGCTTTGTCGTCCACATGTATGTCTATAGATCATTTCTACATACATCATTGTGAAACAAACGTATACATCCCTCTCGTAATTGATTATTTAACTTAAGATCTCCTGTCCATGTTCCTGGTTCTGTTGTCTATCTCAATCCTCTCCATCCATCGAAATTCCAGGCGACAACAACAACAAAAACAACAACAACATCATCCTTCAACAACCTCAACCTGTAAATAAAAATATTCAAAAACATTCTAATAAGATGTTATTCATTTTCCAGGTTCATCAGTTCACAATAACAACACAACACCCTCTCAATTCATCGTCATCCTAAAATGAGACAAAGGTAAGCATATTCTTTAGTTTAAATTTTCAATTAAAAATCTTTTTTAAAGATTCTATAGGTCGACGAAGAGCCTGCCATTGTCAACACGTCACCATCAAACAGTTCTTCATCCAATATTTCATTAACCACCATGCCTCCACAATTTTCTCGAGGGGGAGATTTGAGATCTCCCATTCGACGTCGTCCTCCCACCATCACCATGTCCACCACCATTACTTCCATCATCACCATCACCAATGTATGAACTTGCTTGATTTTTTCGATTGTTTAATCATCGAAAATTTCATCATGAATTTAATAAAAAATTAGAATTGCTGTTGTTGTTATTATAGAAAAAAAGGTTAATTTTTATGATTCAAATAAATCTTCTAAGAATTAAAGCAAACATATTCGAGCAATGATCAATTAATAATTGAAATCATGCAACAGAAGAGAAACAGTGATAATTTATTAAATTTCTAACAAATAAAAATAATTCGATAGAATGAAAATTATTTTTTAGAAATTTCTATATCGACTAACCCGACTAGCCGTATGCTTTACTGCCGTTGTAAACATTTATTTACAAATACAATCTGTTATTTTTGACAAGTTAAAGCACAACCTTTTTTTATAGTAAATTATATGATTACGTCAGATAATACTAATTATCACAATAGAAACCTTTGTTAGAGATTTTTTGCGTCAAAGATTTGTTTTTCATGTCGAATGTTCGTGAAAATATATTACAATCTAACTATAGTTTGTAATCAATTTAATATATTGAAAGAAAATTTTTCCAATTTTCCAGCTCAAAGGTTTATTTCTCACCTCAAATGTTCGTATAAATACATTGAAATCTAACTAAAGCTCGTAGTTTATTGTAGAAATTGAAAAAGATTTCTTCTATTCTCTAGCTCAAAGGTTTGTTTTTCATCTCAAATGTTCGTGAAAATACATTTAAGTTTATCGATAGTTCGTAACTGAATAACTGTAGTTCGTAATAAATTTATCAATTGAAACAAAATTCTATTTTCCAGCTCATACATTTTGTTTTCATGACAAAGGTTCGTGTAGATACACTGAAATCTAACTATAGTTCGTAGTTAATTATAGAGATTAAAAAAAAGATTTTCTATTCTCTAACTCAAAGGTTTGTTTTTCATGTCAAATGTTCGTGAAAATACACTTAAGCTTATCAATAGTTCGTAATTGAATACATAAACTGAAAAAAGTACTTTTTAGCTCAAAAGTTTGTTTCTTATCTCAAATGATCGTAAAAATTTTTTAAAAGGATTCTCTAGTTCATATATTTTTTTTCCTCATGCTTAATAGTCTAATTTTGATTTCTAATATTTCTAGAAGGATTTCCTAACAAGTATATTAAACCAGAAGGTCTATCAAACCCTTAATCTCACTAAATGGAATATTAATATTGCATTATATGACTTATTTCTTAATCCTATTTTGTGATTATTAGTCTATCCGAACTATAATTCATATAACTTACGAATTTCAATTAATAAGTGATTAGTTGAACATATATCACAATTTTATTTTATATTTTCCATAAGATTATTCAAGAAAGAGATATGTTGATATTGAAATGAGTAGTTATGTTGATGAAAAAAAATAGAAACGCGCCTTTCATTAGATTGATTCATTATTGTTAATTAGAAGAAAATAGAATATTATCAAATTCGACTCTCTTGAATTTTACCGAAAAATGAATTATATATATTAATACTCTTTGTAAGAATGAGGAATGCACAGAAACAGTTTTGTTCCGTCTATTTTGATCAGGGGAATATATATGTATTGTTCTCCTATTTGTCATGGACAAGTACAAATCATTCGAAAGGATTATCGATTCGTAAAATCATATTTCAAAAAATGTAAATTTTAAGATATTAGAGAAGTTTCATACATTAAAATAAAAACAAATTATTTTAGAAAATCAGTTTCTTTTTGAAAACAACGATGAATAAATAACGTCTATAAATCATTATTTATATCTATCAGAAATTATAACATGAACCTGATATATCATATCACTATATTTATTCTTTTTCACTTGTAATATTCTCTAAATCAATTATATATATAAACCTGAAAAGCAAAAACTAGACACTACCTTTGACCTCTTTTTACATTCGAAAAGAATATTTCGAAAAAAAAGTAATTATACCATTTGATAGCGCTTGAAATTTTCTACCAGTCTGTGTATTTGTATTTTAGTTTGCGCTTGAATATTATGAAAATAAATTAAGTATAATGAAGGTACCTCCATGTCCACATTCCCACAGACTGGATTTTGCCACTGGCATAGAAAATCGTTTTTTTTTTAAACTTTTTATCACTATAAAATTATCTTTTTAAAAAAGTAATTATATATTCTGACAGAGCTTGAAATTCTCTAACATTTCGTATATTTATGTGCTGCTTTGCATTTATCTGTTAAAAAATTATTTGAATACAGTGAAGAAATTTCAATTGACAATTTCGAAGACGTACTGCTTTTTTGGCTACTGATATTCAAGGCAATATACTTTTATATAGGGTGATAGAGGATTTCAAGAGTTATCAGAATCTATAATTACGTTTGTGAAAATCTATTCTATATGAAAAATAATTTTGTAAAAATAATTAAAAAAGCTTGTCAGCGCAGCTCCTTTGGAATCCCCTGAACGTATACTGGATTTACTGCCGTGGGATTTACTGCCGGTATACTGGAATCCTTGCCATAAATATTTTGAACGAGTAATAGATCAGGTGAAACAGAACACTGGCGGAATCAACATTGGAGGAACAATCGTAAACAACCTAAGATTCACTGATAACATAGATCTTATAGATGAAGATTGTGGCTCACTTCAAAATCAAATCGAGCTAATTACGAAAGCAGCCGAACAATCTCATTCTGAATACAAATAAAACCAAAACAATGGTATTGAGATCGAAATATTGAACATGGAATGCAGATAGCAGCAGAGACCATATAAAACGTTGAAAAGTTTGAATACCTAGGAAGTCTATTGATATGGAACGGCAATTGTTCCAATGAAATTAAAAGAAGAATACGTAAAGCGATAGGTCCAATGACTTCGTTAAAAAGGTTTCATATACATTAGCACCTACAGAAATATATCATTGTCATGATCTGTGAAGAAACAGGCCATCATCGTGTTAGAAGCACGCCCAATTTATTATTTCATGGTGGAATAAATAATAATCAAATGAAGATAAATTTGTAACGATTTATTTACTGAGACGTTGTTATCAATCGTGCAGAATAGCTTTAAACAACTATTAAATCTTAGCGTGGTAAAATAGTAAAACTAAATCTCATTTTAATTCAAAAAATCAGAGTCTTATTATACCGATATGAAACTACATTTCCCAGTAGTGTCAAACTTGAAACTTGAATTCAATTATTGAAAAGGTGTTTCAACTATTCAAGGTGTGAGTGTGGGTGTGAGTCCTTTACTCTACCAGTCCCTTTACCACACCCACACCTGGGGTCGTGATGTATGAGTGTCTGCGGGTGTAAATCCTTTTACTTGAGTAGTTGAACTTCAAGTATTCAATAATTGAATACTTGAATTCAAGTTTCAAGTTTGACATATATGCTACTGATACTATCTTGTCTAGTTGTGAAAGCTCCATAAACATGTTCTGTGTCTTGACTATTCCCTTGTGTAGCTCTGAATGGTGGAACAAGCCGTCGATCGTATTTCTCTTCGTAGAATCTGAATAAAAGCAAGTGGACATGTGTGTTATGTTTGCGAGAAAACAAAGCGAATTTACTATATTTATTCCTGCTTAGGATTGTGATGCATCGTTAGATATAATACAACATCATCATAAGTAGGTACACACTTTATTGTATTCACTTTCGTTGTGTTAACATGTACAGAATCCATATCCACTATAGTTTCATCTTTCTTCGTTTTGCGTTGAGGTTATTAAGTGCATTTTTTCTTCTCTATTCTGCAGTGCTCTGTCTGTCTCTTTCGATTTTTCTCGTGATTATTTGAGACTTTCTTCAGTATCAAAGTTGATGTATATATACAGATCACTTCAAATGATCAGTTCATTTTCTTCACTATTCGACTGTAGTAACCTCGGATTGATCAACCAATTGCAACGAATAAACAAACAAAGTTTTTGTGATCAATACTGCATGAAATATTCTTCTATTATTTTTTGATAAAAAACGTACAATACGTCTGGTCAAGAATTTTCTCTGGAAATGAAACGTCTCTTTTTCCATGTAATTACATTTATTGAATCAGAAAAAAAAGGTCCACGAATTCCTCTGAACAACACATTAGAGCGTTTTCAAGCGTGTCTCGGAATTTCAATCCGATCAATAAGTAATTTCAAAAAAAAGAGATGCGAGAACTCAGCGAAGAAGCGAAGGAAGAGAGCATATACGATTTAGAAGAAGATAAATACTTCTATTCTGTGTGCAGTCGACAGGTAGTCGACATCGGTCCATTCTCATGGCCGGTTTCAAACGTACATAACGCAGTCGTGTCAAATGCACCTTTACCGACTATCACCTTTCGTCGTCATCGGACAAGACATCCACCTATAACAGATACCAGATTTTTTGTCTTTGTTCCCAAACCAATACTACCTCAGAAAGTTGACAATGTTGGACGGAAGCCAGTTATTTTGAGTGTGTTAGCCGAAGATACAATCCGTTACGTCTTTCATAAAATGCTTGAAGAAACAATATATCCGACAATTACGACACTGCTGGCCCGTTTACTTGCTGAACATTCAGATTTTCCAATTCGAACAGAATCTACTCTTCTGAAGAAGATGAAAGAAATCGGTTTTCAATATCGAAGAACAGCAACAGTCAGAATAGCTCTTGAGTAAGTTGTTGTGAGTTTTCAGAACTCACCGGCACTCTTCTTCGCCCACATTATTATTGCTTTTATTTAGTTCGATCACGTTTACGTCTCAGAGGGCCACATATTTTCAAAGTCTCGATGATCTTCGCACCAATGGCGGGCAGATTTACTATAATGATGAAACTTGGTCTAACGCTGGTGACGAAAAGCGTTCCATCTGGTTGAGTAATCGTGGGGAGGGCCGTTTACGGAAGAATGATGACAAAGGAAAACGATTAGCAATCTCGGCAATGATTAATAACAATGGCGTTGACATAGACACAGTTGATATTTTTTCATGTGATGAAGATCATTCTATGAACAGTAGTCATTTTATTGAATGGCTTCGAAAAGCAGCCGAACATTTACGCCAGCAATATTGCGAGTCAACTCAAATCTGTATCGTTTTGGATAACGCGCGCTCGCACAACGAACTGTGCGATGATGCTAAACCACCAAAGCGATCGTGGAGAAAAAATGAAATCGAGCAGTGGCTCCAACGAAGAGAAATAAAATATGAAACCTGTCAGAAGAAAGCCCAATTGTTGGAATTAGCTATTGCTAATGCTCCACCTAAGAAATTCAAGGCCAACATGGTAGCAGCCGAATTTCAATGTACAACTGCTTCGCCTGCCTGTTAAGCACTGCATGTTGAAACCAGTCGAACTGTTATGGGCAAAATTAAAGGAAAACATTCGAAAATACAACACATCTTTTGTGAGTGATAGAAATCTAAATTTCTACTATTTGTCACCAATCAGTCTTGACAGATTGAAAATTGTCTCCGTATTTTTATCCTTAATAGCGTCTGCCAGATATTCGATCGTTATCTTTTGAGTTTCTCAATTCATTCAACTCTGATTATTGTCGAAAACTCATTCAGCATGTGCGTGGTATAGAAGAAACTTTCCGTGTAGCTGATAAACTCGTTGAGGAACAGATCGAACCAAATCTCATCGATTCCGACTCAGATGACGACCGAGATGCCAATGAAAACCTTGAAGATACCGACGACGGTGATATATGATCCATTTCTAACTATTCTCTACTTTTCTGCATTTTTCTCTTGTAGTCCAATAAATGATCTTGTTTTTTTTTCAAACAGTCATAACAGAATATCGTATTATATCTAACGATGCATTGCAATACTAATGAAGAATAAATGTAATATCGAATAAGCAATCCATCACGAAAGAGAAAGTTGAAGAATAGAGTTATCACAAATCAAAGTAAATTCTTTTTGTTTTCTCGCAAACATAACACGCATGTCCACTTGCTTATATTTCGACTCTACAAAGAGAAATCCGATCGACGGCTTGTTTCGCCATTCATAACTACACAAGGGAATAGTCAAGACATAGAACATGTTTATGAAGCTTTCACTACTAGACAAGATAGTATAAGTAGATACGATACCTTCGAAAACATGTATTTTTATGCATAATTTACGTTTGTTCAGCATGTAAAAAACCATGTTTTTCGATGTCTTGCAAAATCTGTAAAGTTTGAAGAACAAGTCCAAATGACATGAAAATTTTATGGTGAATAGAGTTAGAGTCGGGCTACATTCTGCATGGTATAATTTGAGCCTATGTTGCTATGGGAACTACAGAAGTAATGCATCAGAAAAGATGTTCGTTTGTAAAGACATAGAAATTTTGTTTAATTCTAATGTCCCGTATATAGCCAGATGCTGCCCCCCCTCCGACGCTTTATCAAATGATGAAAACCCGACCTCGATAGCTATCAATGATGAAGAGTTATTCAAAAAATGGTGGCTGACATTTTTTAAATAATCCGACATTAGTTTAGTTAATATATGATTTAACTTAATATTGTTTAATTGTGTTATTTGAAATAAATCATTAAATAATAAAATTAAAAAAAAGAAATAGTCAATAATAAATTAGTTTTGATTATATAAAGCGTTAGCTGATTAAACATTAAAATAATAAACAACTAGGAGCAAAAAAAAAGAAAAATAATAAACATTGATTTGAGTTTTGATCAAACTATAAATAAAATTATATTGAATAAATCAAACCATTTTCTCATCATTTTATATTGATATTAACATTTTAATTATAAAACTGATTTTTCATTGTGTAGGAAAAATCTTTATTTTAAGGTTCTAACACAATTATCTGCTATTAAACATTTGAATTTGTTTATAATTAATGTTTTATTACTTAAAATAGATTTATTTTATTTAAATGAATATGTTTATTATAATGAAATGACTTTATAATTTATTAATAAATAAAATAAGATGATAAAAATAAAATAAAAAAGGTTTTAATTTTTTTGAAATATTTCATCGAATTATATTTCAATATAAATAATTATAACAACGGTCATTAGTTTAATTATATGTGTTTAATATAGAATTCGATTAATAATCAATTGAAATAAAACAAAAAAAAATGAAAAACAATTTACGAAAATGATCAAATAGTGAATAACTGAGAATAAATTTCAAACTTCCGACAATCGATTTGTTTTCATAAATAATTTAAGAAATATTTGAAATCAAATCGAAATAAAAATTCATTTATTAGTTTTACTCAAAAATTATTTTCAAATGTTCGATTTTTATTCGAGTTTCAATTTATTTTTAATCTATTCAATCGAAATCAATTCTTTTGTTCGTCTAGTTGAAATATTTAATAATAAATATATTTACAAAAACAATAGCATAAGAAAATAATATTCAATGGTTTCTAATTCAATATCGAAATAAATCAACAATATACTTTTATTTAAATAATATCTGAACAATAAAACATGTTATTATGCTGATGTTTACTATAGAAATTGATTTAAATAACACACAATATAATCAATTATAAGAAGATTATCATGAAAATAGTTCTCACTCATTGATAAACTGACAAACAAAAGCAAAATATTCGATCTGATGTCAAATTGATTGACTCTTTTTTAATCATATTTATTTTTAAATTTTATATTTAAAAAAATGTAAAAAAAAATAATTTTCATGCCCAGATAAAAATAAATCCTTTTATCTTTAATTGTCATTAAGAATATTCTCTCATGTGAATCTTGTTTTGTTCTACTTATAAAAATAATAAAAACGTCATGCTTTTTTTTTGTTGTCTGTATGATCCTAGATATGAAAAGAATTAATGAATAATTGAACAAATGAATTTAAATTAGATTGTCATTCTATTGTTTATCTAAACAACAACTAAACATTATTTTAGATTAGAAAGAGTACAGGATATATTCATCATATTCAAGTATTATTATTCATAACGAACGATTAAATATATAAGGAGATTTCATATCTATAGAAGAAGAATCATACAAACATTTAGACAAAAATAATCTTCACACGATTTATTAAAAAAAAACAAAATGGTAAGATTTTATGTTTTGATTTTGTTTTCTAATAATTATTTATTTATTTAAACTATTGCATTGATTTAAATCAAACTTTTTTAACATCATTTTATATGAATATCTTCAAAAAAAAAGAGAATTCCATAATTTAGACAAAAATCAACGATATGACAATATTATTTTCATTTTCAATTCTTAGTCATTGAAGAGATTTTAGACATGTTTCATTATTCTTGTCAATTATTTACTAAAAAAAACAAATACTGATTGTCATATTGAAAAACACTCGTTAGTGGGGTCTCTTCAGAGGGCAAAGTGTGGAACTCGCAAACTTTGATTGTTATACATTTATGATATACTACCACAGGGATTTAAATGCTTTTTTTTTCAATAGTTGATACGTACGCTCGGAAATTTTATTATGTCGAAAAGGGTTTAGGACATTTACTCCCTTGGACACTTGTTCGCAGCTGTAGGGTATCAATGCAGGTTTCCGATGTGGATTACAATGTAGATCGTACCTCTTTGTGTGAATGAATAGAAGACTCACACTCAAACTTTAATTCAGACCATTATTTCCAGCCACATCCGACGCAAAGGACCACACTAGCATCCAGCGCTCCACCTCTAGAGATATACATTCAGATCGAATAACCTTCACCTCACACTCACTTTCGGCATCCTGCATCTACATGAACTACACCCACATCTGGGATTAGACATTTGCGTGACTATGATTTGTTTTTAATCGCAGTCATGTTCATAACGTTAGTTACGAAGGTCCTCATCACAGTCATGCCACGGTCATGTGTGACCGTAACTGCGGCCATTTTGCAGAGGGTGGGTGTGGGTGTGGGTCCTCTGTTATTAAATACCCACACCCACACCCATTTGAATTAGTTCATACTTTTTAATGTTCATTCTATTCTGACTCAATTAGATCAATAATATCACCATTCTGCTAATGAATATCGATAATTAGATTCTTTCGTTCCATTAAATAGCAAAATCTGAAATATTTACACTAATTTGTTTGACTCTACAGAATTCAAGAATGATCTAAACACCGTTATTGCTTACGAGTATTTTCTCTTACTATAGAAAGCTATCCAATAATCTTTGACTTCGCCTCACACATTCCCACTGTTGCTAGGATCAAGAGGAGGGAGCCACAAAAAGCTCGATTTAAATTTCCACTTACGATAATTTCCTTGTAAAATATACGTGTGTTCTACAAAGAAAGGAAATTTTTATTTAAAACAATGAATTTTAATAAATAATTTAATTTATATTGTTAGAATAATTCAATAGCTGGTCTTACAGGTTCATCGTTTCGTACAATATTAATTGTAATAGCTCTTTATTCAATGTCTAATGTTATTCCAGTAATAGAAGGTCGCTTTCTTTGGGATTTAAGTTTGTATTGTATTGATTATTGCTCACGTAACAACGGTCAAATGGCTCAAATGGGCGTTTGTTCATGTCATCGAATTGCATCTTACAGTCGTCGAACAACAAATAATAATCTTGAAAAAGAAGGTCAGCCCGATTCTCCATATTATATTTATCAACAACCCAATTAATAATCATATTCCATAAACATTTCTTGAAAAAATTTATTTATCTTCTTAAGAATAAATAAATAACAAAAAAATCTATCTATTGCAATAATGAATATTCTCTATGATGTGGTTAAATAATCACAGCATTCCGTATAAGAATATTTTTTTTAAATCTATGAAAATAATCTTAAAATTGAATTAAAAACTTTCTACAATTGGTTAATACTGATAATAAATTTTTTCTGCTTATTACAAAAACATATTTAATGTTTTATGTTTGTTTTCATAACAATCAAGTTAAACAAGTTTATATGAGTCTCTTTCCATCTTTCTTTTTTAAAAAATGTTCGACAAATAAATTTAAAAAAAAATTAGCTCATTAGTACATTTATATATATATAATTAACTCAAAAACGGTTGAAGATTTATGATAATCTTAGTCATTGTTTATCAAAATCGATTGAAACTATATTTAATCAATGAAATCGTGTAAAAGTAACAAACTTAAAATTTAATTCGTAAAGAGTAAAATAATTTTTTCGAAAAAATATTCACCTCTCTTTCTGTCTAATTGTTCATCATCATTATTCGATATATGAACAATTTCATTTAACTCTCGATATATTTAATATTATGTTTTTAAATTATAGACAAAATCTCCATGAAACTAATTATTTTGGTGTTTTATTCGACAGTTGTTTATTGATTTGTTTTCATAAATAAATATCAAAAATGTAATTTCATAGTTGAGAGAGGATTCATCAGAAAACCAATCAACTCTTATATGGGACCAGCCGTCGATAGGTTTTTTTTAAAGTTTTTCAACTTAAACGAGAGATCATATCATGAAACTTACGAATCTAAAATATTAGGATTTTTCTGATGTATCTGTGAAAAATGTCGAAGATCACAATCCTCCAATGTTTGAGGTTAGACCATAAATATTCAAAAATGTGTTTTTTTTAAACATTTTGATGGCATTTTGAGATTCGCTCTAACTTTGCTCGTCCCTCGGAGCTATGGTAGGTCTCAAAAGATGCAGAAAAGAGTTCTCTACAAAATAGGCTATGACAATGATCATTATAATAACTTTTAGTAATCGATAGTGCCCCCACAAGTGAAGGGCGGGGGTCTATGCTTCATGAGTGTCATTTTGCTAACAATTTGCTTCTAGCCTCGTCAAGTCATGACATGCCAAAAAAACGAGTCCAGTTTCTGAAAGCCCTTGAAATTCTGCATCTTTTAAGCTATTACTCAACGAGCAAGAAGACGGCCTCAAGTTTTAGTAAAGATCACAATTGGTGCTCTAAGTGGCTAAATCATGTACACCTGTTAAAATTGTCTACATGTCCGGCAGTTTTCATAATCATAGATCAATACGAGAGAAAAACAAATAGCGTATTTGGAATCAACGTAAAAAACTACATCGAATCTACTATTCTATCATTATGAGTCCAAAGTCATCTTCTTAAATTACCTAATTATAAAAGATGAAATACTTGATACTCAATTAAATTTTTTATTAAAAATACGCTTTTGATTTTACATCTTGAAAGATTGATCAAGGTATAATTATTGATTTAAGAACTAATCAAAGATAACAGATGAAAAGAATTTCCTCAAGTTAAAAATTAAAATAAATTTAAACTGAGTAAAATAGAATGTCTGCATACCTTCTTTCTCTTCAGCAAGCACTCGCAAAAAAAGAAAAAAGAAATCATCTGTATTTGGCATTATTAGTATCAAATTTCTTTTATTTTCAATCATTCTAACAAAAAGAAAAACATTCATTTATTTGGTGACTTAACTAACTTTTACATTCGACAATATCAAATATATATCTTGATTTAATCCTCATCAAATAACAATATACTATAAAAATCTAATCAAAATGGATATTTCTATCATTCTTATTTTTTCAACTTCAATAATCATTACAACTATGATTCTTCTTCGGATTCTAACGTTTCTAATAATAATTAGTACTGTAACACGTATTTATTNCAACACCTGATCCAACATTTTATCCGAATATTGTTCATCCACGTCAACCACAAAGACTTAATTTACCTCAAAAACGAGCATTACATACAAATAAATTTTATACTAATCCACTTCTTGGTCCAGGTAGTAATCCAATAATTACACATCCATTTGTACTTTTTATGAATCTTGAATCACCTTATGGTATATCAATATCATGTACTGAACAATTTGCATTAGGACCACGAATTGATAGTACAAGAGTAAAATATTTTATAAATATTATATTAAAAAATATTCAAGTTNTGCCTAGGCTAGTCCGAGATTGAACGTATATGCGGGCATGAACGTGATATATATACATAAAGAGATATAGATCTCACCATAAGTTACTATTCATTCATGGCTTCAAGTAAAAACAGTGACATCGGTACAAGCAGTTATGCTGAAGTGATTAAATCAACCAAAGGCAAGTGCAAAATAAACATTGATGGGTTCCTGTATATCAAAGACAAAAATCATGATGATGTGTATTATTGGATTTGCGAACGCAAATCACAAAAGGAAACAAAAAGTACTGCAAGAGCAACTACAATTCGGACTGGGGACCAGCATAAGATTCACAAATTTGATGCTCAACAGCACAATCATGCTCCAGAAGCAAGCAAATCTGAAGTTTTGAAAGCCTGCATTCAAATGAAGGAGGTGGGTCAAATTAGCAACGATCAACCTGCACGAATCATTAACGATGTTATTGCTACAACATCGCGTGAAATTCAACCGTGTTTACCACGAAAAGATGCCGTAAGACGACAAATCAAAAGAGCAAGACGTGTTTGTGACGAAGAACTTGAACCAAAAACTTTGGACGATTTTAAATTACCAGATGCGTACTCTATTACGCTCAATGGAATACATTTTGCAAAAAACATTACCGAAGGAACTGAAAGAATTTTGCTGTTCACAACAACTGAAAATCTTGAATGGTTGCAAGAAGCGAAGTTTTGGATTATGGATGAAACGTTTAAAACTGTTCCAACATTATTTCGGCAATTGTACAGCATTCACGCGCCTGTAGGTGGAAATGTTAATTTCCGAATTGTTTCATTAGTTTACGCATTAATGACGGTGAAAAGCGAAGAATTATATGAAAAATTATTTCAAGAATTAAATGAAATGGCAGAAGAACATGAATTGGAATTAAAGCCAGACTTTATATTAACTGATTTTGAACAAGGTTCAATCAATGCTGTAAAGTCAGAGTTTCCAAGTGCTCAAAGCAAAGGCTGTCATTTTTATTTAGGACAATCAGTATACAGACAAATTCAAGATGCAGGACTGACCAAAAAATATGGAACTGACCAAAACTTTAGTCTTCTTATACGACATATTTCAGCTTTGGCTTTTTAAAGTCCTTTAGAAATTCCTGATGCTTTTGACGAAGTCAAAGCTTTACTACCACCTGATGCTGAACCAATTATTCAATGGTTTGAAAACAACTATGTACATGGAAAAGTCAAAAGAACAATGAAAAACGGCAGAGTTCAAAGACAGAATTCATTATTTCCACCAGAAATGTGATTTGTCTTTCATAACATGGAATTTGCATTTCCAAGAACTCAAAACAAAATCGAAGCGTGGCATAGACGCTGGGAAATATTAATTGCTCGATCTCATGTTGGTATTTTTACTATTATAAAACAAATTGAAAAAGAACAAAATGAAGTTGAAATGGAAATTGAAAAAGCAATGCGTGGCGAACCAGCTCCAAAGAAGCGCAAAGAAGACGAAAATAAAGAATCCAGAATTCAAAATGTTATTGCTGACCGTGGTAATAGATCAACTATGGATTTTCTTCGGGGCATTGCCCATAATCTTTCACTTTGAGTATTTGTAATTTTGATTAAAAGAATTTAAAAAGCTCAAGAAAATAAAGAATTTTCTAAAAAATGAATCAGTTTTTATTAATATTAACAAATTTTGTTTGTAAAACAAGTTGTCGACAAAGTGTACATGTCGGCAAAAAATACGTGTCGGCAAAACAATTTGTCGGCAAAGTTATTTTCGGCAAAGTGATACGGACCCTTTTCATCAACATATTTGAGTGTGTTTGTTGAAGATAGACATTTATCTTCTCTGAATAAGAATACTCATACTGTACAATGATCGATAGGTAATGATGCCAATAATAGCACAACTGTATCAATAAATCTCTAACTGAAGTTTGATCAGACTCGAACAGTAATCAATTTTGTAAGAAGAGCCAACAATTTGAGTTTGAATATCAAGCCAACTCTGCATAGATATGGAACGAAATATTTGATCGATTTCAATTTCGACTATATTGATTCTTATGACTCTTCTCTGTCAACTTCAATATGAAGTGTTCGAAAAATGGATTTTTGTTATACCATCAATAATAGAGAATGCATCAATATATCAAAACGATTTATTATATAAATATATGTTTGCTCATTCTTCTCCTCTTCTCACATGTTGTATTTGTCATAGATCTGCACATAGTGACTGAATGAAAGATAGGAAAACATGTGCACAGAATGAATCATTGGCTATTTTTGTTCGGATGTAAAAGTTGAAAAATTTTTTTGTAGACTTGGTTAAACGTTGTGCTCATATTCTTCAAATGAAACTCACTATTTACACTCTTTTCAATCGTATAGTTTTCAGTATATGACAGCAACGTTATTACTATTTTTTTTTGACAAGCTCATATGGCAACATCAAGTCGATAATGTTACCATGCTTGAGATTGAAACTTGAGAAACAAATACTTATTGTTACTAGCTGATTTTACATGATGTTTCAGGATATGCACAAAAAAAAGAGAAAGCTAACCCGAACTTGCTGGTTTTAAGCAGATGAAATTAGACAATTCATCGTGGAAATTTATTTGTAATTGACAAGTATATTGATACTGTGTTGTTTCTTCATACTTTCTGCCATTTTCTTTTTCTAATAATCGTTTTGTTTCTAGATTGTCAGCTCATTATTGTTTACGATTGTTAATGATATTTCAAAAGAAAAAAATTGTCCTATATAACTGATTCTATGAATTTTTTTCCAGCACTTGACTTAACTCTTAAAAGTCGAAGAGACTTTTTCTTACAACAGGAGAACGCTAATCACAAAAATAGAGATTATGGACTCTCAATATACTCATACTATAGCTAAAAAGAATTACCTTGCTCTTCTTCCAGAGTTACGCAATGTACTTTGGCAGGAATATCCGGCCTTGTAAAAATCTGAAAGATAGAAATTTCGGTCTGAAATTTTATCTATAAATAGGTTTTATAATTCTTGACTCGCTCTGAAATTTTCACTCAAAATGGATGCTTTCTTGTTGAGATATTTGATACCTAAAAAATTGGTCACATTTTGCAAAAAAAGCACTAAAAACGACTTTTCGTCAACATTCTGTATCTTGAGAAGGAAATGACTAGACCCCGACAAGTTCAGCTCAAGCTCTGACCTAATGAGCTGTTCGAACAGCTCATTTGAACGAACTGAGCTATTCGAACAGCTCATTACGAGTGAGCTGAACCAGTCGAACAGCTCACTTGAGCGAACTGAGCCTTCAGAGCAGTTCGTTTCAAATGAACTGAACTGCTTCAACGGTTCTTTTGAACGAGCTGAACTTTTTGAACAGCTCTTCCCGAATGAACTGAGCTTCAGATTTAAATAGATACTGTCCTATACGGGTACTCTTGGGTGCTCAAGTCCTACTATTGGAGATACCCTTGGCTCAAGTCCTAGTTTTGGGGAGTACCCTTAGGTCCCCAAGGGTTGGTAAGAAATTTTTGTCGTTTTTTTTTAAATTTTTATTTTTATTTTTTAATATCAAGAATACAACTAGCTTTCAACAATGTATGCTCCATGACTATCTATGACTTGTTGCCGACGCTCTGGTAGAGAAAGGATTTCGCGTTCATAGAAGTCCTGCGCCTTTTGACCAAAAAAGATGAGGACGTCCATTTCCAGGTCGTTTTCGTCGTCGAACTTTTTCTCCTTCAAATGGTTAGAACGAGAACGGAACAAATGGTAGTCCATAGGAGCCAAGTCTGGAGAATAAGATGGATGCGGAACCGTAACCCATCCGAGCTCCAATAATTTTTCAGGCGTTGATTTTGCAATATGGGATCTGGCATTATCATGCAAAAAATAAATTCTATCCTGCTTCTCCTGAGGTTTTGCCGTAACCCGGTCTAATTGCTGGCAATAGAGATCAGCAGTGATAGTGCAATTAGTAGGAAGAAGTTCCCAATGAAGAATCCCTCTTACTCCCCACCAAACGCTCAGCATAATCTTCTTTTGGTTAAGGTCATCTTTGGGTGTTGCTACATCTTTTTCTCCAGCTCCCAGCCACTGCCGCTTGCGCATATGGTTAACATACAACACCCACTTTTTATCGCCGGTAATAAGATTGTAAAGTCATTGTTAGTTGCGATGAGACGTCATTAATTCCATACAAGCATCAACTCTGTGTTGAAGCTGATGTGGTGACAAATCATGTGGTATCCAAACTCCATATTTCCACGTTTTGTCTAATTCGTGCAGATGTGTCTTCACTGTAATATGAGAGCACCCAAGATGCTTTGCTAAACACCGTGTAGTCAATCTAGGATCTTCTTCGATAAGCTCCTTTAAGAGATCCATATCCACCTCTAGTGGTCTTCCAGTATGAGGTAAACCATCGAGTTCGAAGTTACCGTTCTTGAACTGATTGAACCAACGTTGCGCTGTACGAATGGAGAGCGTATCCTTGCCCATAGTATGGCATATGTTGCTTGTTGCTTGTGTTGTTTTGTGACCCAGACAGAATTCATGAAGCAGAAGCACTCGGAGCTCTCTACGAGATATCTTCATTTCTAATTCGAGATCAGCATGTATATCCATAGTTTTATTCTTGTTCGAAAGATATTTACACTCCCTTCATATACCCTTAGTATGGAAACTTCTAGAACTTTCTTGACTGTTCTAGGAAGTTACGAAAAAAACGAAAAAAATTTCTTACCAACCCAATATTATTGGAAGACAAACAAAAAACAAAACGTTGAATTCACTATTTATTATCATTTTTAAAAGTGCTTTATTTGAAGTAAATTCAGTTGCATATAATCGTCCAAGTACATCGATCGTCATTATTAATTCTCCATTAGATGTTCGAACAGAGGGTGTAGATGTGGGTATCAAATTCTTCACAATAACACGCACATCCACACACTTCTAAGCTTTTTTTTACTAAATTGTGCCTTGAGGAAAAGTACAGATCAAATTATGATGGTAAATATTTTTGACGAAATATACGTACATCAACTTTTCTTTCCTATAGAGCTCTACATTACAGTAAAAAATATCACTTTTTAATAAGCAAAAAGCTGAACGAAACTCCTTTTTCCAAGTAAAACCTATTTATTATGATTAAATTGATGACTTATTGCAAATTAAAAATGTTGA